GCCTTGGTCCTGCCCTGATAGTGCGGCCGTTGGAATCCTTCGTGATAGCGACGGTTTCTTTTATGTTTTGAGTTTGCAGGCGAGGGTTTTTGATCAGGATGGCCGAGTTTTTTTTCCCTTGCACCCGTTGTTGTATGAGTAACTCAAGTAGATCTGGAGNGAGCATGCGTATGCCTGAAAAGGGCTACTCTGTGTGGGCCCCCTTCCCCGAATTCGGGAGGACCACTTCTTCCCTTCCTTTCCTCGCTCCCGCGGGTGCCTAATCATAGAGAGTTAAAGCGTGTCTTCTCCTCCCAAGTACGGACATACCAACAGCGGCTACACCACGCTACACATGATCTTTTGTTTTCTAAGTATATATCTTTGTGTTGTGTGTGCATGTGTTCATATACTCCGTATTATAGTACTATTATAAACTTCTACTTACAGCAGAGTAATAATAGCTCCTCTAGACTACTGTGGACTTTATTGGTTGTCTAGGGTTCGCCTTACAACCCTTTGCTTTTTTTATATACTGGTCTACAAGTAGCCTCTAGAGCAGTATGCGAAACGTGAAACTGCTGCTGCTGCTGTCACGCAACGGGTTGTCGACGATTGATTAGTGTTCTGCATCATCATCTCGAGGGCAAAAAGCATGAGTGATGTTGTGCGCCATTAGTTGGGTCCAGCAGCTTTTTCCCAAAACATCTTCATGTTGTACTCCGAAGTATCATATAATGCCGCTAGCACGTCCAGTAGTGTATGCGACTACAGCTACAGCACACGTTCGTTCACCAATCAGCTTGAAGTTTTTGCCGGCTTGACGCCACCGTTGTTCACACACACGCAGGCATGTTACGACACCAGCACGTCCCTCAATGCGCGAGGCCGCGGGGTCCAGCTAACGAGGCAGGATTGTTTCACTCACGCTTGCCGCGCCGTATGGCCTGGCGATCAACCCGTTCCGGAACCTGTTATGGACGATCTGTCAATGTAGAAAATTGGTGGCCCGTTATGTTCCCAGCGAAT